AAAAAAGGCACAGGTAGCACATTTAAAAAAAAATCAAGGATCTAGAAAATCTTGTCAAAAAGAAAAATGATCGCAGAAATGTACCATAACGAATATTTAAATTTAAATTCTATTTCTAATGCACCAGAAGAAGACCGACGAGCTTAGTGAATATGATCAAGAATGCAATTATTGAAACATTGCTTTTTTGTACTACCTCTAAATGTGATCTAGGAAATTAACTTTAATAAGTTTTACTCAAACCCTCATTTCAATAAAATATTGTTGATTTGTTTGTTTGTTGGACATTTTCTGATCAAAATTAGCAGCAATAACTTAATCTATAATAAAAACACAACATACAGTGTGTCCAACATCTAGATGGAAAATTATTTAATAAAATATATTTAGTTAGTGTAGAATTGTTCTATGTTCTATAACAAGCTATTATCGGTTGGACTAAACTCTTGAATGTGACTCTAAACCTTAGACTCAGTTTGTAGTACTAGAATGTGTACCTAGAAATAAGAAAATGTACCTAAACGATAGCCATAGCATGTTTAAAAAGGTATTTCCTATGTTTATTTTGATATATACTTTTCTATTTTCTTATTTCTTAGATTCATAAAGTATACATCCCTATTCTGATAAAACGGGCGATCCAGTTCAGGGTGGTCCACAGATAGATTTCAGGTTGATAGTGAACGTAGATAGAAATACTCACTAGTAAAAAATTGAAAATAAATCTAAGGGTGGGGGTGTAGTTGATCTAAAGACAGACACTTTAATGATAATATCAAGAGGAGACGGTTTCTCAGATAAGGAAGAATAAAACATTCATTAATCTGTAATAAATCGTATATTATGTACGTGATTATAAACTGTACAAAATGTCCGATCATATTTTCACACATATGACTTTTTAAAGGCGCATATCCTCTTCTTATTCTTGCAAAACCCTCTTATTTAATATATATTAAAGGGCAAACTGTGCGGCCCTGTTCATTCATACCCCTTTCGATATCTGTTGATCATCTTGATTGAAAACAGCAAACAGAGGTATAGACATCGAAAAACTACGGGACACACAGACTAAAAACAATCTGGGAAATAAAATTAATGACAACCTAAGTTTAATGGCCCAAAATAAGGACGACGATGAATGCACACTATGGGACAACATGAAAGGAATTTTACAACAAACAATATCCTTGGCCAAAACCAACAAACAAAAAGGAAAGAATGGATGACCGATGGTATCCTGTGCTTAATGGAACAAAGACGGCAAAATAAAAATAATAAAGCCAGATACAAACAACTACAGCGAGAAATTAGAACAAAAATCAGAGAAGCAAAAAATATCTGGGCAAACCAAAAATGTCAGGAAATTGAAGACCTGGAGAAGAACCACGATAGCTTTCATCTACATAAAAAAATCAAGGAGTTTACCAACACTAAACGAAACCAAACGGTACTAGTAAATGAGTCAAACAAAAATATAGTAGATCAGCAAGAACAACTTGAAATATGATGCAAATACATTAAAAAAGTGTTCGATGACAACCGCACAGACAGGTAGTATGCGGAGGAACTGGAAGGCCCAGATATTATTATGTCAGAACTGATGCACAATGCACTACGTCTGACCAAAAACGGAACTACTGCTCCAAATGATCTCCACGTAGAATTGATAAACCTTCTTGATGATGAACATCTTACATTATTGATCAGAATCTTTAACAAAATATACGAGACAGGTCATATTCCCAAAGAATGGCTTGTTTCGACTTTTATCAGCCTACCCAAGAAGGCAAATGCAAAGCGATGTAATGAATACCGCCTTATAAGTCTTATGTGTCACGTGTTAAAGGCATTTTTGAGAATCATACACACCCGAATATGGATAAGATTGGATGCTAACATTGGCGGAACTCAGTTTGGATTCAGGAACGGCTTCGGAACACGTGAGGCCTATTTTGCAGTATAAGACTTAACACAGAAATGTCTAGATCAACAGACAACCGTAATAGCTTTCTTCATGGATTACGAAAAAGCTTTTGACAATGTGAAACATGATATCCTAATTAATTTATTAATCAAACTGGGACTCGATAGTAGAGACATCAATATAATTAAACAGCTGTATTGGAATTAAGTGGCCCAGATAAAGTGTGATAACCGTCTCTCGGATAAAATCAAAATTATGAAGGGTGTAAAACAGGGATGCGTTCTTTCCCCGCTTCTGTTTAACATATATTCAGAGGCAATTTTCCAGGAGGCTCTGGAAGACATCGAAATTGGAATTAAAATTAATGGGAAAATCCTAAACTTAAAATAAACTACAGTAAAACGAAATTCATGGTAATGTCTAAAACTGGTATTAACAATGCGTCACTGTCAATTAATAACCAACCCATAGAGAGAGTACACCGCTTTAAGTATTTGGGAAATGACGAGTTGGACCCAGATGAAGAAATTAAGACAAGAATAGAGATAGCCAGGGGCACGTTTTTTTAAATTAAATTCGCTTCTCACAAGTAATGATCTTAACCTGAAAACACGCTAGAGAATAACACAATGCACTGTTTTGACTAGCCTACTTTATGGTGCTGAGAGCTGGACTTTGAAGGTCTCCAGCATGCGAAGGGTGGAAACTTTTAAAAATGACGGATCCTTAAAATACCATGGACGGATCGTGTGACCAACGAAGATGTGCTAAGACGAATGAACAGAGAACGAGAATTACTAACCACTGTCAAGAGAAGGAAAGCCTCCTATTTTGGTCACATTTTTAGAAATCAAAAATATGCCTTATTACAAGCTGATCATGAAAGGAAAGATAGAAGGCAGGCGCGGCCTGGGCAGAAAAAGATATTCATGGATGAAAATCCTTCGAGATTGGTTCCATGTACGTGATGCCGTAAATCTAATACGCACAAGAATGAAGAAGATTTTGATTTGTGCTATTTAGTTTCAATAGATACTGGAGACGGGAGTTATTAGATCTCTGTTTTTGATTTCAACTTTTTTAAAAATCAATGAAAAAACATGTCTCTTCACCTGAATTCTGAACTCTCTTGTACTATAACGGCCACGGAAACCAAACTGAGACTGCTCCACAAATGACTAGCGCTAGCATTGCATAAAATTGACTCAAGGCGATGTAATAGTTACACCTTTTTAAAGACCTCTTTTTGCGGATCGTCCCGAAAGTTAATTTAAGTTAATCGAAAGAAATTCTTCCCGATCTATAGACGTTATTAAAAAGCTTCGCAATGGCGAGTATCTTAAAAAATCATAAATTAAAAAGTTGTAAGGTTGCCACTGTTCTTTTATTTGTTTTGACAAAAAATTCTGACAATGGGTCGCCTTGTCCTGTTGCATTCGCAAAATCAATGTAATTCCATTGTGCATGCTCCCTGTATAAAGTGACTTTCACGTCTTGCTGAACTTCAAAGTTACGGCCAACGTTGGTAAATATAAACTTTTGTTTAAATATCTCGCGCACCCTGTGTGATAGACGAAACCTAAAACTCTCTCTCGACACAATTTACACAATTTTAGTTTTTCATTTAAGGCTAATAATTTATCCACGAAAACGGAAATTTTCTAAATATTTTTTGTTTTTTTTTTACCATAAACGACACACGCTGTACATAATCGAAAAAACGCCTGAAGTAAGCGTTATAGACCTGTATCGCCCACGTTTCCTGGTATATGAATTTTCACAATAGAGTAAATGGTTCTCGAGAAAATACTTGTTTGACTTTTTCAAATATCTCGAAAAGCGTGTATGATAGACAAAAACTGTAAATACAAAAATTACTTTAATACTGTGCATACTAAATAGCCATATTTTTCATGAATTTTGATTTACAGCAAATAATTTTCTCCCGAACTGAAAAATTTTGAGGGTCTTTTAGATTTTTGTGTAAAATAGCTGTATGTAATCGAAAAAATGTTTGAACAAAAAGTTATAGTGCCAAATATATCGCATTTCCAGGTTCACAAATTTTGCCGATCGGGTTTATAGTTTTCGAGAAAATATTTTATAACAACCCAACAAATTTTAAAAAAATGCTTTGCGATATTTGAATATATGGACTTCTAGTTTCTTGCCAAGTTTAGGACTTTTTTGAATATTGCACAAAATATCCCAAACACCCTGTGCAATAATTAAAAACCTTAAATACAAAGGTTTTAACTATCTCTACGGCCTATATTGCCGTATAAAAGATTCTGATTACTGAAACATAGTATTTTAGTTATTTAGTTGAATTTTCCATAAAAAAAGAACATAAATTATAAAGAATAAAAGTTTATCGAGCCTTATATTTTGCGTTTTCTCTCCAATTTCGGACTCTTATCGTATTTCATAGCAATGTTCAAAAAACAGTCGAAAAAAGAAAAAAAAAAAAAGAAAGGTGGACGTCCTGGTTTGATCAGAAGCATTTTTTACTGACTTATGTGTTTCGTGAACTGCTTAAAGGGAGATAAATCTGAATGCCGTATGGCTAACCGTACCATAGTTATAGCCAATTAATGCTCCGTCTTCAGAGAAACGGAGGACAGAGAACAGGCAAAAGGACCAACAGACAAAAAAATGAAAACGATTTTTTCAACTCTGATTCCATCTGTACCAATGGCGACGCTGTACGATGCACCGTTTCCGAGATATGAGTTTCGTTGCCGAGCGCGTATCCTTTCGAATAATTAGATTTAATCGATTTTTCGAAAGTAACGAAGTTTTAATATTTATTTATTTGGATAATTTCATATTGGCACCGTTTCTATTTAAGTTTTTGCATATCCCTCGTACTTATCGCGAGGGTAGTTTAAACTTTAATATATCGTTAATATCCACCTCGGAACGAATTAAAATCCGAATCCGCTTACACCGGAAACATTCCTTTGTGTTGCCCGGAAAACCGCTGAATATTTAAACCGCGTTATTTACCGAGGCGTTATTACTGAAAAGCAGAACCTCCGACAGAAATATAAGGATTAAGGTAATAGCTTACCTTATAAGGATTTAAATTCTGCACCGCGCATTCCAAGACCGCTTCCCTGCCGACCGGCACGGTAATATTTCTGATTGGCTGGCTAAAGTTTGGACTCTCTGGAACCAAAGAAAGTATTAAAGAAGTTTCAAGTTTCTGGTTTAAAGTTTCGAGGCTTTTCGGGAAACGCGAGGATGATTTAGGTTGGTTGTTTTAAATAATTGACGCACTAGGTTCTTGCAAAAACGTTTTCTCCTACTGCTGCGGTTCGTTTAGTAATTTAGTAATTAGTAATAATAATTTAAATCCCATTTAAAATCCACCTGATTTGAAACGAGACTCTTAACCGTAAATGATATTTTTGAAACGAACATAAGAATATAAGAACCTAAAACACCTGCCGGAGGGGGCAATATTCCCAGTTTCATTGTCAAACATTGCATAAGTGTCACTTCTGGTTATTTTTAATTATGTTTTAAGGAGTAATCTTTATCCAGAGATATATAAAAAAATAAATCTGGCCGATTGTGGAGGCAAGCGATGCGTCTCCTAGTAAAAACTACAGACCTGTTAAAGTTTTGTATAATTTTGGGAAACGTTCTTCTATTCAAATAAATAATGTACTCAAACGTCGTTTGAGTACATCGGCAAGGTTTCTTCGATAACTATCAGGCTTGTCTATAGTGCTCAGTGTTTTGCACAAAAACCCAGAGGTCGATATTGTATACATATTGTAATTTCGAATGATTTATTGATTTTAATAGATTCGTATCTCAACAACAGGCAACTTTTATTGAATAGAGAGGCTAGAAATATTTTTTGCTACGTCAGGAGCGCCTAAAGGATATCTCATTTCTTGTTTGTGGATTTCAAAGATCAAATGATTGCAAAGAAGGTCTTTTTACAGAAATAGCAGTCCTGTGATGTTCCACTATATACTCAACGGTATGCCTTTGGAGTGATGTGATACGTTCAGAGATCTGGGTGCAAAATCTCAAAACGGATACAAAACATTTTTGGACATTTCATAATAACAAATACGGCAAATGATTCTCCAAATATGTCTCAACTTTTTTGTGACTATTTTAGTAGTGTGTTTGAACCGAGGGATACTCCGTCCTACATTTCCTCAATTCCTACAAGCAAGAGTGTCGTCTTATCTCGATTTTCGCAAAATTCAATTAAAAAAAAATATTGCTCAATTTGGATCCTAAAAAGGGTCCAAGACCGGATAGTATACTTTGGCCGAAAACCTCTTAACCTCTTTAATAAATGTCTAGGTCAAGGGACGTTTCCAAAAAGCTGGACAGTGGCCCAGGTAGTCATTATTTTAAAATCTGGTGATTCTACAGACGCCGCACAGTGGAACGAGCCTGTACAAACTTCGGACGTACTGGTTAAAACTGAACGATCAAATATTACAAAGACATATTACGTATTTTAATCTACAGCACTTTTCTGATTTAAATCAAAGAAATTATTTTTTCAAATCAAAAATTTACAACAAATATTTGCTTTTAAACTTCGTTACTTAATTATCCTAAATAAGCCTATAAAGAAAGCGGAATAGTTAAATATACTTATGTTTTTTATAGCTTATAGAAGAAAGACCACTAAGATGCGATAATCGGAACTCTATTACATATAAAATAATCTAAGACTAAGAACCTAAACATTTGAATGATATAAAGTTTTTTTTATTGTTCCCGAACTGACAGTATTTTTTTTTTTTAACTTTCCAGTTTAGAGTAACCGTAAGTAAAATGCCCAGACATGCCCGCGTTTATATTAAAATGTTATCATTTTGAATATTTTATACAAAACAAATTCGAGTCCGACTGATCCGACGGGATCCGACCGTCCTATCTACATCGAATTTAAGCATGCCTTGCACAAAATAAGTGACGCATGACGCCTCGAGTTGCAACAATATTTTGACGTTTATGTTATTATTGACGTAATTTAGTTGTAAAAATGGAATTTACTAACAAAGATTTTTGCAATTTTCTCCTACAAAATAAAACAGACTTTAGCGATTATAATTACCTTTATGAAATAGTGCTAGATAATATCAACAAGGCTTTATCGAGTGGTGCTAAATTGGAGTTAAAAGAGGCTTTACGAAAGTTTTGTTTTAAATTGAAGGAAAGATATATTAAAAGCAGTTACAATAATAATCGCTTTTTTTCAAAAAATTCCAACTGGTTGAAAAAAAATTTCGATATCCCAGAAATTGTAAGAGAAGAAATGTTAAATTCGCTTAATGAACCTGATATTGAAGAAAAGGAAATCCAATTAGAAAAGAGAAAATCGTTCTCTGATTTGCAGGACTTAAGTGCAAGACATAAAAGGAGGAAAACGAAAGACATTAGAGATCAATATTCATCCTACGGGTTACTTTTTGCAGCCAAAACAAACCTACGTTCTGAAGGATATACGGATTTTGCAAAGGTAACTATAACCAACGATAATAATATTATTATATAGGGTTATTTACGGTGAGTGTCCTATGAAAATTTCTGGAAAGGAATAGGCGAAATTTTTTTTTTCAGATTTTCCTTAAATTTTTTTATTTTTTTACAAGTTTTTGTTTTTGATTACAAACGATAGCTCATAAAAAGTTAAGATAGCAAAGTGCAAGCGGTTTTGCGCTAAGTCGAACCGTTCAGCTTTTACAGACCCTCATAAATATCAAAAAGGCCTATTAAAAATACAGGCCTAATTTTCCATCTTATTTCCTTTATTTGATATTTTAAAAATTGTTACTTTCCTATATACAGGGCGTTTTTAAATAGGACACCTTAATATTTTATTACATACCTATTTGGATCTTAGGGCCCAAAAATAAGCACTTTACTATAGCAAAATGCTATCGTTAAATATTAAAAATATTTTAGCGAAATGTTTAAATGTATCTGCAAACTATAATAAGCACGTCTTTTTAATAAAATTGTAATAATTCCTTTTCTTAGTCAAAAATAATAATAATGCCAACTGTCAAACTCTTAGGTCCCTACAAAGGTGTATTTCTTATTTATAGGTCATAGAATATCTCATGGAAAACCCAAGCCAAGCCAAAGAAGTAAGAGAATTTTGCCAGACTAGCAGGCACAGTGTTAAAAATATTTCGGGAGAAAAAGCGATGAGCATCTTTGTTAATTCAAAGATGTCAAAACACCAATACAATACTCTACGACAATCCCTAATCCTCGAAAATATGAACCATTTTCCTTCATACTATGCCATACAACAGACTAAATTAGAATCTTATCCACCCAAAGAATATATCACTATAACAGAGGTATCAGCATCTGTTAAACTTCAGGCTCTTTTAGACCATACCCTTTTAAGGATATTGAAAACTGTGGAATGTGTTACGTCTAGCAATGATATTATTTTAGTTAGTAAATGGGGTTTTGATGGCGCATCCGGGCAAAGTACTTATAAGCAAAAGCTAACTTCAGGTGAAGATTCGAGCATTTTTATTTCCAGTTTGGTACCCATAAAACTGTACAATGTAAAAAACGACACTATTATTTGGGAAAATAAAAGACCATCTTCGACTCGTTGTTGCCGTCCACTAAGATTTACATTTGTTCATGAAACCCCAGAGGTAATAAGAAAAGAAAAAAAATTAATTGACAAAGAAATTGAGAATCTTCAAGCCACCCAAACAAAATTCGGGCTAATAGGGCACAAATTACTTTTTACTATGATAGATGGTAAAATATGTAATACCCTTACAAATACATCTTCTATGTGTTGTTATATTTGTGGAGCTAAACCAAAAGAGACTAATATCTTAAACAAAATTTATCAAAAACAACCGGACGAAACATGTTATTATTTTGGTATTTCGAGCTTGCATGCTTGGATTAGATGCATGGAATGGATGTTGCATATTTCGTACAATTCAGATTTTAAGAGATGGTCGTGTACTACTACAGAGCATAAAAATTTAAAAGCTACAAGGAAGGCCAGAATACAGGAAGACTTAAGAAATGAATTAGGTATTTTAGTTGATGTGGTAAAACAAGGGGTTGGTACCACGAATGATGGAAACGCGGCAAGAAAGTTTTTTTCCGACTGTTCCACAACTTCTAAAATAATAGGCATCGATTTTACATTGCTTGAAAGGATTAAAATAATCCTGCAAACCCTTTCATGTACCGAAGAAATATGCCCTTTAAAATTTGTTCTCTATACAGCCCAAACAGCTAAGTTATATGTTTCTCTTTACGACTGGTATTACATGCCCCCTTCAGTCCATAAAATTCTAGTTCACGGAGCAGATATTATAAGAAATTTTGTGGTACCAATTGGAAAGCTCTCAGAAGAAGCCTCCGAAGCTAGACATAAAGAATTCAGAAACGTCAGGGAGTTTCATGCAAGAAAGACCAATAGGAGGGCTACAAATGAAGATATATTACACAATTTATTACTTTGGTCTGATCCATATATATCACATTTATCTAACAATGGCTACGAAAGAAAATCGTGCTTGCCGCTAGAGGTCAAAAGCCTTCTCAAATAAAATAGTGTTTCCTATTGGCATATGTTAAATGAATTATTAAAGTAATATTATATTTAGTTAGTTACTTATTTTCCGTTAATTTTTATTAACTTTTAAATATTTATTAAAATTCTAGTTAGTTTAAAATTTTTTAAATATATTTAACTTACCTTATTTTCAAATATAATTTTTGGATTTTGCCATAGCGAATTTATCATCCCGTATAAACATTTATATATATTTGTGAAAATTAAATAAATTTATGAATAAAAATGTTCAAAATAATCAGAAATATTTTTTTAAGCGAACGGTTGACTCATGTCCGGAAAATCGTATCTTTCGTTCCACTGTGTGCCGTTATGTTACTTCGCTATAATTTTAAGGCTGCAATTTATTCACAGTTGTTTTTTTTTAAGAATCAAATAGATCCAAATTAACATGGTTTTCACAAAAACGTTCAACGTTCGTTTCTTTCGCCGTGTACACCGATTTTTCGTCAAAATTCACAGCGTGGGAAATATCTCTCAAAACATCTGATTGCTTCCAAATCCGTATGGTAAAATCCCGCAAATGTCCGAAGTGGCTCGCATTCATGGGAAACGAAACTGACGTGGTAAAGTGACGCTTCCCGCACGCTAGATCGGTGGGTAATTAGGTATTGTGCAGACGGGAGTAGAAAAACTTTTTTTCGTAAATTTCTGATTATCATTACCATAATTTTGATCCTTGAAGATCCGTTAAATGATTTAATTTTAAAAACAACTACTGAATTAATATTTTTAAAACTCTTTTGCTGGAGCTTCAATATTTAACACCACAGGCGGTGAAAAGTCAGCGACAAATTCATCGCAAGTGAATATTGAAGCAGAGTTTTTCGGATAAAATTCGTGCTCCACCTAATAATTACAAAAATAATTCATACACTTGGGGCAATATACTGAGGAAATTAATGATTTCCATAGTGATCCATAATGATACCATAGCATGAAGCAGAAGGATCAGAGGAAACTTGACGACCGATAGAACGATTTGTGTTTGAACCAAAAATAGGCATTGTGTTACTAGGTAATTGGATATGTGACATGACATGGGAGGCGAGTGGTTTTCAGTTTATAGTTTTCAGAGTTATCCGGTCTTCTTTGGACGTAATACCATAGCCATGGCCTGACCAAATAAGCAACATTTAAGCGTGAACTTTGCGCGTCGTAAATTTGGCAGGATGTAGTAGTAGTAGCAGTATTTTGAAATTATGAATAGTACCAACAACGGCGGAAGGCAACAATAGATCCTAACTTAATTAGCAAACTGTGTTGCGGGGTGCCTGGCTGCAGCCAGTGTAGCCCGCGCGGGAATTCGGCACAAATAGACATCGTACAAGCAATTTCACTCCGCTCGACGTGAAGTTAGCTCTAACTTTATTGAGTGCAGTTTATGGACCTGTGCCGGCTGTTATAATGGACGCTTTACGTGAAATGCTGCGTAGCGAATCGCCCCGAGTTACCCGCCAAAGGAAATTATTATAATAAACGCTCCAATTGTGCTGATAAGAATTAGTTGTTAATTTTGCCGACGGCGGCCGCTCGTACAATGGATAACTACAAGAGTGTCCGAGTTGTATGCGGTAGAGGCTCAAGGATAGTGATTTACGGTTATAGTTTCGGATTAATATTTCTAGGTTACGCTATCAAGTTAGTATTCTATTTTACAGGCGTGGTCAAATTGAAAAACTTTACTTTTTGTTCATTTTCATTAACTAAAAGGTTTTCGTCAAGCTTTTTATCTAGATTGCTCTAAAAAAACTTCTTCTACCGAGTAGGGCAAGGAATTACCCTAACCTTAATCAGTGCACTGTGCACTTATAGCTTTTGCTGCAGAAGTTTCTTCCAAAGTGCGTAGAAGTAGGACTCAGTATCAACATCCAAAAAAACTCCATTTATGGTCAGGAGTCAAAAAAAAAAACATAAATCCTGTTCTTGCAGCGGATGGTATAAGAATAGGGAGTTGATACTAGGAAACACAAATAACATCTCAGATCAACCATAAATGGGTTAAACTAAATTCAGAAAAAATAAGATAAGAATGAAAATATATACGCTTTCATGTTCACAAACAAAAGCCTATGCCGAGGCATTAGATTGGCGTTTAAGAAGTGGCATGTTTGGTGTTACGGGATGGAAACTTGGGCTTTATTGCTCAACCAATCAAAACGCTTGGATCATTGGAAATATCGCTCTATAGGCAGATATTAAGAATACTTTGGATTCATAGAATTACCGAATATGAAGTCTTAAAGTGCGTTGCATAAAGTGCCATGTTTGATATTACGGGGTGGATACTTGGACTTGCTCAAACCATCAAAGCGCTTGGATTATTCGAGATATGGCTCTATAGGCTCTATACCCTGGATTCATAGAATTACCAATTATGAAGTCTTGAAATTCATTGAACACCGATGAAAGATTCTGATGAATATTAAGACATTCAAAACAGCTTGCGCAAATACAGCTACAGACTATAATGCAATGAAAAATAGAAGGAAGAAAGGGTATTGACAGATAGAAAAAATTACACTGTAAAAAAATAACAGTCGAGCAATTGCTTGATGTGGCAGATGGCGCATTTAGAAATATGATTGCCGGCCTTCAATGAGAGGATAACATGGCAACAAGACTATCGACTGTCAAAGGACGGCATGCGATGTGTACCCGTTACCAAATCCTTCCTTCAAATTTCTTTTGCAACATGAAAAGGATTTAGAACAAGAGTTGAAAAATGACTAGTCGAATACCGCAAAACATCGAATGATTGAGACAGTTTCTTCTACGGTCTCAGAGCACCTTGACCCTTAACATCGCGTCGTATTGTGTGTAGAGTTCTTCACAAAAACCCTCATTTATATCCTTACAAAATGCCTGTGGTTTATCTTAGTGATAAGGCGTATTTCTATCTCGCGCGGGGGTGTAAATAAGCCAAATATGCGCTCTTGGAGTAGTATTAATACTGGACCGGTTTATTAGAGGCCCTTGCATCGATCTATCGATCTCTCTACTTTTTGGAGGAAAATGATTCTGTTGTTACCGTAAATTTTGAACTGATGCGTGAGAATGATAAACAGAGTTTATCACCTGCTGATACAAGACTCGAGGCGAAGTACCAAATTTCTACTCTGTGACATGGAGGAGGAAACACATAATGATCTGGCAATGTTTTTCTCGATCTGGAACAGAGCCAGAATAAAATGGACCGATACTATTGCGACAACTAAATCAACAGGACAGTGATTCAAAACACATAACCAAACTAGTGAAAGAATGACTTACAGAAAAAAACATAATTGTATTTGAATGGCCATCCCCATCGCCAGCTCTGAACCCTTTGGGATGTGAGAGTATTTGGACGCATTTCGCTGTTAAAAATCAACAGAAACTGTTGCCAACTGTTCTAAAGTGAATGTTTCCCGATAGTTTGATATCCGCGCGACTTTTGGAGTCACAGGTTTACAAACATTGATAACTTGCAAGTCTAAAAAGGCAAGATGCGATTGAAAATATTTCGCTCACCGCGAGACTTGCTTTACAGGGCAATGCAGAGCTTCAGAAACATTTTACAAGATCGTACAAATAAGGTTTTTGTCTTATTAATATTCAAAATTGGGAATAACTTGTTGTCGGCTATTGGACTGTATTGAGTTATTTAACTGTACAATATTTTCCATAAAACTCATGGTTCGTATCAAACGCAATACAAAATAAAATCAATCGTCGAAACAGATAATTAAGCCCACAGTATGAATCCTTTCGCATACAAACCCTTTACGCCGCGTTTTTGCATCCCGTTGTGTACTTTTCGCCCCCAGGCTCTCGTACCAAAGCGTCGCTTTGTTTTTTTTTGTTGTTCGACTATCCCGATAAAATCGCTTTGAAAAGTAATTGAAAACCGATATCTCCGTACCGAATATCGAACGTTTTACCACTTCCGCACGCAGAGCCCCGGCAAAGGGAAATTAAATCAATAGCAACCGGATAACGTGGATCTCATTTTGTCTAATGGTGTTACGTCCTGCAGATGCAGTGATCCTTGCTGCAGTCTAGTTGGAAGGATTTTCGCTGAAGCGCGTTTATTTTCCTGGACGGTATTTAAACGAAATTTTAAGAGCCTTGTTCCATTGGATCCAATTAAAAATTGTTTGCATAAGGGGAAAATTTGTAACTCTACCAGATCTTCAACGCTGCAGCCTTATTATATCTTCTTCTAATGTTACTTGACAATCATGTTGGTCCGTACAATCTTGTACAGTCCTCATTCCTGTCCACTGTCTGATATTTTTCAGCCGCGATGTTCGTCGTCGCCCCTAACCTCCTCGACCATCTATTTTGCCCTGCAAGATTAGTTGGATAAATTGAAATTTCTCATTATCCATCAGATGCCCAAGGTACGTCGTCTTCTTCACTTTCGCATTATGTATGATTTGCTTTTGTATTCGCTGGATCATGTTGTTGTTTATGACATTGTAGGAGTATGATATCCTGAGCATGCGGCGATAGCACCACATTTGAAAGGCATCCAAGCTCTTAGATGTAGCGTCTGTCAACATCTGTATAGGAGCGTGGAGAATACACCCGTGTTATTATAGTAATATTCAGGTGCATGTTACATAGGCTTTTTCTGAGGCGGTTTAAAACGGTTCTTGTCCTTTTCTATACGGCATTTGATCTCCCGTGTATGAGTCCTTGTTCCGGCTACAGTCCATGTTATTTCATCTGTTGTTTCCAATATTTCATTATTGGCACTAAACTGTGTGGTATTGTGTCAAAACAAATATAACCACCACCACTTTCATTATTTCATTTTACCAGATGATTTTATTAGAATGATAATTTATATTAATAATTTTATAAGGTAGTAAATAATCTTTTAAAGAAACTTCCACAGGCTACTATAATACTTTTTACAAAACTTTTGGATTTCTCCTGCGTCGGTTTTTGCTGAGTCGAACTTGCTGACGTTTCGCCAATCATCCTATTGGCTTCTTCAGAGCTTGCACCAGGAATTTCACCCTCTAGGGGTCAATACAGTTGAGAGCTATGAGGGCTTAATGGGATACACAATTAATGGGCTATTCTTGATAAACTCCTGTAGTATTTTGGTGCTACGCAACAGTCGTTAACATTTGCAGTCAACCACCAGGTATTTGGAACTCAACCAACTAGTGTCAAACCACATACATAACTTCGAAGCCAGTTATGAAGCAATTTTTAGAACGGTATTTTCTTATCAATTTTGTCGATTTGTCGACTATAAACAGATAGACTATGATCTGCAAAAAATATGGATTGTACCAGGTCATTTATAAAAGATAAACAAAGTCGTAGTTGAAACAAAAATAACGCAAAATGTAAGATAAACATTACTAACATTTAGACATTTACTTATTTATCTTTTTTCCATTATCTTTAATGATTTGGGAGAACATGAAATAGTTTTATATCAAAGGAGTTTTTCAGTATATATTTAGAAGAAAGTTCTTGTGTCATAGCTACGCGGAATTCTATAAAAAACTATCTTTGATGATCGATAAATAGGAAAGGTAATGTTAAAATTTGATATACACACTACTTTAGCAATCGGAGTAGGATTACAGGATTCTTTAAAATCAGCTTAATTAGCTTAATATGGCGCACGTAACTGGTGTCTTTGCCACCTTAGTCAGTCATTTTCCATTTTTGCGCTTTCTTTATAGTATTGGTTTTGGAATATCCCATCTAAAACCTCATAAAGTGCGAATAAATTAACCTGCCTTTACATACATACATACATTTTCCTGGCCTGGCCTGAATTGCAAATACATCTAGATACTACATACCAACGAAAGTTCTAATTTGATGCAACTCGGGTGCATGCAATTAATTAGTCCGTGAGAATAGCTCAAGGTCATTCAACTTTTGTAGTCGTGACGATAAATTGCATCGTGAAAATAGAGATTTAATAACTGTATGATCCATTTTTCAATCCCTTATATTCTAAATGTTTTTTTTACGAACTAACCCAATCTCTTCTTTTTCAACAGCTTTTTTTAAGAAATTTTAAACAATCTGGATGAAATACGTGCTCTCGATCGATGCCTTCAAGCCAAAAATGCCTTCTTTTCGGCCCTTAATTATGTTTTCTGTTTATATTTCGTGTTAATAGGTATTTAATTTTCGAAGCGATCGTGGCCCAATCGGCAATTAAATTGTCTGATGGGATTTTACGAACTCCCTGCGTCGGGAGTGAGGAAGAGGGCTTTTGGGCGAATTAAATTTTACAAGACGACTAAAATTCGGCGAAATGTAATTGCAAAGGCAACATCCTTTGTCGGGTATGACGATTTCGTCTGGGTCCCTATTATTTCGTTTATTTTAAACAAAGGGGCAGATATTCCGATTGGATTGTGGGAAGTTAGATACGTAAAAGGCTTTGCCTTTAATTAATTGGCTTTGATATCCGACGGGGCAGATAAAGGAACACGCAATTCAAAGATGTCGAGGTTGATATAAATTTTAGACAGACTTTCATATCGATTTAGAAATAATTGTCTCTATCTACAGGGTGTTTGTGACAATGGCGGGTGTTGCTCCAATATGTCTTATCCCAGTTTTGAATTATGATGCGTTAGAAGTTAAAGTGTATTTCTTATTCCTATAAAAATCTACTGTTTCGAGAAATTGTGTTACGTCAACAACAATAAAAGTCACTGTATATGGGATAGATATAAAGACTGTTGACAATCGGTTGCATCACTTTGGTTGGTTAAGTTCTTAGAAAAAGATGTATTACCATGAAAAAAAGAACAAAAAACACTTTTTAACCATTAAAAAAACCGATGATATGAAGCTACAGAGCATCCATCCAAACAAAACTCTATACTCAATATAATATAATTCAAGGAGCTAGATATTATTTTGTTTTCTGAGCAGAGAAAAACAATAACATCGTTTTCCTTTTAGAGTGAGACAATATTCTTAGGATCGGCAGGCGAGGGTTTTTTCATCTTACTGTTCACAATATTTTTGAAGCGACAGAGTTAAACGGGCGTTTTTTCAATAACGTGTCTCGTCTGTTTTAGATATACAGTGGAACCATTGATTTGCATAGATTCAATTCTTGAAAATTGAAAATAAATAACCTTCTAATAACAAAAACAGTCTATTTGGATTGAAAAAAAAAACGATTAAAGTAACCTAAACGAAAACAGTTACTTAAGTAAAAAAAATTCTAATCTTCTTTTGTTTTAAACTTAAACAAGTTAGAGTTTGACTCCGAAATTCCTTACGCATACCGCGTCTACTATATTGTTTTGAGTTGCCCATTATACTTTTTTTTTTGAAGTACGTTTCTGTTTTTTCTCAGTTCTCTTTTTAAATCACTGACCCAATTATGTCAGTTGAGTGTTTTCTATCATTATTAAATAATTATTATTATTAAATAATTATCTCTATTTTCTAATAAATTATTATGCGATTGTGATGTCAATTTATCTATAAACCTCTTCAAGGAATATCAACAAAAATGTCCACTCCGTTTAGTTCTCAGAACGACGTTATGGCGACGTAACGCACAATATAAATAAACATCAATAAATAAATATAAATGTCATTGTAGTTTTAAATTGATTTCGGTCAATTGACTGGTCAATTGACACAAAAAAAATTGATCGGTCAATTCCACAATTCCACATAGTCGAAATTATCTTTTCTCGTCAATAAAATGGCAGTTTCATGTTTTTTTGAAGAATCAATTTTTAAACTATTATAACAACAACATTCTGAATCGATAAGATTATTTACTACCTTATGAAGAAAGAAAATATCAAAATATATCCTTCCGGGCTTCAATGATTGCAATGATAGTGTAAATTATCTTTCTAACAAAATCTTCTGGCAAAATGGAATATTGAATGTGGTGGTGTAGAATTATATTTCTTCTGATTTAAATTTGAAATATTCTGGAGCGTCTCTTGCTCTATATTCTACATACTAATTAATAAATAATAATTAATAATAATAATTAATACATAATATTTATTTTACACGAGGCACTTGTACTTGTGATTATCAGCATTTTATAAAAATGTAAAAAAGAAAATACTTAATTTACATTAATATCGATAACGATAATAGAATACCACCGTACAATATCGATTAATCAGTAATAATTAAGGTGCATTAATTTCTAGCATAAACATACTGTCTGCTTCAGAACATACTCTCAAAAAGGCATTTCAAAAAACCGAAAATGTCATTAAATGCGGCGAAAATTTTATTATTTAATACAGGAGGTGATTTCCCTGCCAAACTTTTTTAAGGGGATTTTTGAAATTTCTTTTAAAAAATTACATTTTTTTAAATAATTTGGGAATTATTCTTGCTTAGAGCAACAAAGGCTATTAGTTTTGCAGTTATTTGGTGCATTAAATTATTTTAACTAATTTTCATGCACATGCAGCAACTATAAATATTGTAATAATATTGTAAAATATTTTTAACATTTTTTTTTATCAAGGGAATTTTTGATTTCAATGTCGTTTGGGAATTTAAAACGTTTTCAGAAATTATCCCCTCTTAAAAAAGCCAATTGCAGACCCATGTAAAGTTTCTGAAAGCTCTGAAGAAGCCAACAGGATGATTGGCGAAACGTAATCAAGTTCGATTAATCAACAACCGACGGACAATTTTTGAAACCAACTGTATAACGAAATGCCAAGACAGTGGTGGACATAGTTTGACATAAACAATACATTCAATTTAGTTCGTCTAGTCGCAGAAAACGTCGCCGTCATCGTTATCGAACGAAGCTTTAAAATCAGCAACTTAAGTTCCGTTTAAGGGTGACTCGGCAATATCGCACGAACTAAATAGACTTAAACGGAAACCGTTTGCCAAATGTGGGCGTTATTAAAAGCACGTTTTATTCGGCGGCATCTGTTAAAGGGTAATAAATTAGTCGAACACTTTACAACGAAATAACGAGGCGAGAGCATTTAATAGTCGCTTACCTGGTACACCCTACGTTCGGATAATTTTCGTCTGTCTGCGTGCCGGGAGGAATTAGTCAAAACGTCGTCGCATTTCGTTAACGAGTTAAAGTTGGTTAAACTCCTATTTCGGCATCCTTGGCCGGTCGCGTTTAACTTTCAGCTGTTTTGAGCTATTTAATGAGAGTATTTCGAGCTTCCGATCGATTGGGCTCATGGTTTTGAATCAGAAAACTTCTGGACACATTATTTTGAGTATTTCAATAGCAAAAGCGGATCAGGTTATTTGAGAAAAACTGCAACGGCTGATCGAGAGCTATAGTTGCTTGCAATTCCTTCATACCGTGCACCATGATTCCTCGCAGCAGGCAGAAAAT